CTTTAAAACTTGTGGACTTCAACTCCCAGAGTTCCCCAGCCATGAACAGTGAGCTTCTGCTAATTAAGGCTCATGGACAACGTTGTTCTTTTCTCCCGTCTCCAGTGGCTCCGTTCTTGGGTCTCTTTGGATCAAAGTCACGACTTGCGTTGCTGGTTTTATGATGTCGCTGTGAATCACGACAATGGGCGCCTCCTGCTGACCATTAGCGACATCCAATCTTGGCACGCCGGACCTTACCGCTGTGCCAGCCTGAATGCCACTGACAACAGCACCATCTCGGACAAACTGGACTTGCAGATGGAGTGTATGTCGGGGTTTGGAGTCCCCCTCTAGCCACCAGAGGGCAGTAGATAAACAGGAGATGAGGACTAGGAGATTGTGTTACCCATTCCTCCTTAGACTACGCTTCTGCATTTCAGTTCACTCTCCGTATATCCATGGGATCTGCAGTAGAGTGTTTAGCTGAAGACCAAGAATGGAAAGAGAGGGATTTGAAATACAAAGCACATTTATGAGTGGTGGGAAAAAATTATTCTCCCAGGCACGGTTGATCTCAACTAGCAGGGCTCCATTAACAGGACAGATTTAGAAGCAGAAGCGACTGATGTGGAGCCGTGCTGGGTCTTAACAGAATGATATATGCAGGCAGGGGGGATAGATGGAAAAGTGTTTCTGAGCCCCAGCAACTGAGACCCTGAACCCCACCAAGCTGGCGTTTCGAATTAAGAAGGGGCGGGGATGCTGGGAAGGGAGGGGGGCTGACTTTCCGTGTCTTCTCTCCTTCCTCAGATCTGCACAACATCTTTGTCAGCCAATCCAACTCCTGGTGTGGTACCGTAGGAGACTCCATGACGGTCGTTGAAGGCGACAACCTGCAACTTCAGTGTTCAGCTGATGCCTCTCAGACACCACATTACGAGTGGATTCGAGAGGTAAGGGAGCAGGAACAAGACTTCAGCACAGAACAGAATAACAGTGGGAAGGGACCTCGGAGGTCCTCTAGTCCAACCCCCTGCTCAGGCAGGAGACCCTATACCAGTGATGGCGAACCTTTTAGAGACTGAGTGCCGAAACTGCAACCCAAAACCCACTCATGCATCGTCCAGTGCCGGGTGGGCGTGGCCCATTGGGTGGGCGTGGCTGCAGTGGTAACGGCAGACTGGGTGGGACTAAAAACTTCAATCAATCAGTTCCAACTTTGCAAGATCTTTTTTTCCCGCGAGAAGTTGAAATTGACCGATTGATTGAACCTTTTTTTTTTTGCACACGGCGGCAAAGGTTTAAAGCGAAAAGGTTTTATAAAACCCAGTTGAAGGCCTAGGACTGGGGCGATGGCGCACGTGCCCACAGAGAGAGCTCTGAGTGCCGCCTCTGGCACCCGTGCCATAGGTTTGCCACCACGGCCATATACCATTTTGGACAAACAGCGATCCAGTCTCTTCTTTAAAACCTCCAGTGTTGGAGCACCCACAGCTTCTGGAGGCAAGCCGTTCCACTGGTTAATGGTTCTCATTGTCAGGAAATTTCTCCTTATTTTTAGATTGTTTCTCTCCTTGATTAGTTTCCCTCCATTGCTTCTTGTCCTGCCTTCAGGTGCTTTGGAGAATAGCCAAAAGTTGTGAGAGAGAAGTTTTTTTAAAACATAGTTCTTCTGCTCCAGGTGTTCCTGTGGCCAACATTTTCCAAATCATCCCCAAAATGCTATTCAAAAGGCAACTGGACTTTCTTGGGGGGGGGGTGTTCTTCAAAACCTTTCACTTCTCATTCAGGAAGCTTCTTCAGTTCTGGCTAAATGGTGGAGAATGGAAGGATTTGTGTTCTTCGCACTCTGAAGATTGGTTGTTAGCACTCTCCCCACCATTCAGCCAGAACTGAAGAAGCTTCTTAAATGAGAAGCGAAAAATCTTCCAGAAAAAAAAAAAACCCAGGAAAGCCCAGTTGCCTTTTGAACAGCACCTTTGGAACAACCATGACCTAGATCAGGGGTAGGCAACCTTGGCTCTTTTATGACTCATGGACTTCAATACCCAGAATTCCTGAGCCATCATGGCTCAGCTTGGAAACCTCTCCCTTTTCCCTTACCATGGCTGGCTCAGGAATTCTGGGGGTTGAAGTCCACCAGTCATAAAAGAGCCAAGGTTGCCTACCCCTGACCTAGAGGAACATATGAAAACATAGTTAATGTTAATTAATGTAGACTTTATTAGTTTAGAGCAGGGTAGGCAACCTTGGCTCTTTTATGACTCGTGGACTTCAACTCCCAGAATTCCTGAGCCAGCCATGCTGAGGAAAAAGGGAAAGGTTTCCATGCTGAGCCATGCTGGCTCAGGAATTCTGGGAATTGAAGTCCACGAGTCATAAAAGAGCCCAGGTTGCCTACCCCTGACCTAGATGATTGAGAATCTCCATAGACACGATCCCAAATCATTTTCTCAGATGTCAGTAAACTGATAAGAGTTTCATAGCTTCATTGTGTAAATCAAAGGTTTTCTGTTAATGGCTTCCCCCCCCCCCTCCTATAACAGGGAGATGACTGGATCCTGCCCTCAAATTCCTTAACTCTCTCCAGGATAACCCAGGAGCAAGCAGGAACCTATACTTGCCAGGCCCACCATCCAACTTTGCCTCAGTTGACCAAGAGAAAATCAGTCCGTTTGCTCGTGGAGAGCACCAAGCGCAGCTTTAGTTTTGGTAAGAAGCCCTGAATTTGGACATCTAATATGAGGTCTGGCCATTTGATAGCTTCCATATTTGTTGGGAAAACTTCCAGGAAAAGAACCCACCAGGTGTTGAGATCCATCATCTTTAACCAGGAACATCTGAGCTTCTCCCCACAGCAGTGACCCCTGGACGCAAGGCCAAGCCCATTTTTCTTTTCCTGCTGTCCCAAAGAACAACATTTACAGTCCAGGCCTGCATGTGATTCCCTATAAATTAAATCCTACTGTTTAATAGGAGTTACTTGCAGGCACCTTTCTGTAGGACTGAGATCTTAGGTGGGTTTCAACAATATATTTCAGCAAAAATATATTCAGCTAAGACTAGCTTGCGGTGTGGACACAATCACGGTGGTTTAGTAAAACATGGGCCGTGGCCTGGTAAGTAGGCCAGGATGCCAACTTCTTGTGGTTTGCTCAGAGTATGATTAAACCATGGCCTAGCATGGTATAGGAACCAGATTGTTGGCTTGGATCTTGATTTCATCAGCCAAGTCTTGTTCCTTTTACTGAAAGTTGAAAGAGTCACAAAACATGTCCCCTCAGTAGGACTGTTTTTAGGGGTGATTAAGGCTTCCCTCAGATTGACCCTTTCAAATTGATCAGAGTCCCTTAGCCAACATACTTAATTCGTACACAGCTTTCTTTTAATAGTGGTAGTGTTACAAAAAATATAAACACCTCCTAGCATCACATGTAGATCACATGTACACCTCTTATGATCACGTGTAGATCACATGTAGACCATGAGTGGTTGTAAGCTGAGGTCATATACCGGTCCAGTATCTGATTTTTTTTTTAATATAAACGATGCTGCGTTTCAATGGTTAGATAGTCTAGACCAGGGGTAGGCAACCTTGGCTCTTTTATGACTCGTGGACTTCAACTCCCAGAATTCCTGAGCCAGCCTGGCTCAGCATGGAAACCTCTCCCTTTTCCCTCAGCATGGCTGGCTCAGGAATTCTGGGAATTGAAGTCCACCAGTCATAAAAGAGCCAAGGTTGCCTACCCCTGGTCTAGGCCTGTATTTCTCAACCTTGGCCACTCGGAGATGGGTGGACTTCAACTCCCGGAATTCCTGAGCCAGCATGGCTCAGCGTGGAAATCTCTCCCTTTCTCCTCAGCATGGTTGGCTCAGGAATTCTGGGAGTTGAAGTCCACGAGTCATAAAAGAACCAAGGTTGCCTATATGTCAATATAGCTGGTCCATGTAGGATAAAGTTAAAGGAGCCCCTGCGGATTTTACTCTGCTAGTCGTTGCTGACTGTAGGGGGCGCTGCTCATCTCCATTTCAAGGCCATTGAGCCAGCGCTGTCTGAAGACATTTCATGTCGCCAACATGACGTCACGGAGCGCTATTACCTTCCCACAGAAGTGGTACCTATTTATCTACTCGCATTTGCGTGCTTTTGAAAAGCACGCTAGGTTGAAAAGAGCTGAGCTCACCCCGTCGCATGACGCTCGGGTCTCAAACCTGGACTGCTGGCTTTGTAGCCGACAAGCCCAGCTTTTGAGCCACCGCGCTGTTCCCGTATATGATGTGCCATATGCTAAATGAATAAATAAATCTATTAGGCTCCAGACACTCCATGTAACCTGGCCCATCTTTTCCGGGAGAAACTTAAAAGAAAGCCACCCTCTGAAACCAGCCCTGCCTAATTGGAAGGCTCGCTGGTGCCACGCCTCTTCTAGTAACAGCATCGCTACCATCTCCCTGTGGATGATCCTGTGACCTGGATGACTGCCTCTCTCTCTGCCCTTCTGACTGAGGCAGACAGGTGGAGGGCACCAGGGCTGGCTGCCATTGCATGGTTGACCCTTTTGTCTTCTCCAGATTCCGTGCTGTCCCTCAGCACCCCAATGCTGGCCCTGGCGGTGGCGCTGCCAGCCGTTCTGTTGCTGCTGCTGATCTTGGTCTTTGCCTTCCTCATTCCCCGTCACCGGGCTGCAGTCCTGAAGAAAATGGCTTTGTGAGTGTCCTGTGGGGTTTGGGGGCTGCGTTGGTCGGGGGCATGCCTGCTGTGGTCCCAGGCAGGGATTTGAAAACCTTTTTTTGCCCCAAATTCGGCCCATCCCACCCAAGGACACTAGCTACCATTCCCTTTCGTGCTCTTGGGGGTCGTCACAGAAAACAGAATCTAATCTATAAGAAGAGATGGAATTGGTTGTGATGGTTTTTCCTTGCCCAAAAAGTAGACCCTAAAGTTGATTCTTTAGGTACAGAGAATTTGTTGTTGTTGTTAGTTGCGAAGTCGTGTCTGACCCATCGCAACCCCTATGGACAGCGTTCCTCCAGGCCTTCCTGTCCTCTGCCATCTTCTGGAGTCCATTTAAGTTCACGCCTCCTGCTTCAGTGATTCCATCCAGCCACCTCCTTCTCTGTCGTCCCCTTCTTCTCTTGCCCTCAATCTTTCCCAGCATTAGGCCCTTCTCCAGTGAGTCCTTCCTTCTCATTAGGTGGCCAAAGTACTTAGAGTTTCAACTTCAGGATCTGGCCTTCCAAAGAGCCAAACATTGTTTTTTATGGAGGGTTTTCTTCTGGTCTTCCTGCCGCTGAGTTTAACAGAGACGTATTGACCTACCTCTGGGAAGTGGGAATGCTTAAATGAGCAGGGAAGAACCGGTAACATACTTGGCCTTGTTCCCCAGACTAGCTTAGGCTATGTCTTTCTCGGTTTGTGTGTTTATGGATCAGTTGGGAGAACCCGCTAACATTGGTCTTTTCTTTTTAGGGAGGAATCTGGCCAGCGCACCCCTATCTACAAAGGCAGCCTTGACTCTGTGCCTTCCATTGCGGGAGACACTCAGCCGCTAGTGATGTGAAGCAGAAGCACCGGTTAGTAAACGTGTATCCTGTGAGCCGTTTCTTCTGAAATCCTGGAAAAATCTCTTTGTTCTTGGTAGTTCCTCAGTTCAGGCTTCCATAAATGAGTACAGTAGTCCTCAACTTAACCATTTAAAGCAGTGGTTCTCAACCTGTGGGTCGGGACCCCATTTGGGGTCGAACGACCATTTCACGGGGGTCGCCAAACAACGCAGTCCGCCATTTTTTCCCCCCTTTTCCTTAGCTGTGCTACTCCCTTTTATTCTATTGGCTTTTGAAAGCCAATAGAATAGACTCTCTTGAATAGAGTCTAATTCTATTATCTTTCCAAAGCCAATCGGAATTGTCCAGGCTGTCTCTGCCCTGCTGAGCCCGCCAAAAGTCCCATTCTGCAAACGGTGCTGCACCAGTTGAGTAGTCCTCGACTTACAACTGGTTGGGGGTCGCGGTATTATAAAGGTTGAGAACCACTGATTTAAAGTTACAAGAGACCTCCTTGGGGGTACTTACATACTAGTTCTGAAGTTCCAGTGGCTGCCCTGTTGGGCGTTCGGAAGCCAATTAGTATCTACAACCATTTGCAATGTCACTCAGCCATGTGTCTGCATTTTATGACGGGTTTTGCAAAAAAAAAAAAAAAAAACAGCATCAAACTATGATTAAACAATGACCTAGCATGATATAGGAACCAGGCTGTTGGCTTGGATCCATAGTTCGCCAGCCAGAACTCATTCAGGTTGCTGAATTCAGTTTTTTGGCAAAATCAACCCATAACAAACCACTGATTTACTTACTGACCACAGAAATCGCTTTACGGCCACGACGGTCGCTTAACAGCCGCCACAAAAAAGTTCATAAAATCAGGCAGGTCACACACGGGTGACCTGTTTTACAACCGTCACAACTTGCGACCGTGATAGGCTCCAGTACAGTACATTCGTAAACCAAGGGCTATTTGTATAAACAGTCTCACAAAATATGTCATTTGGGGGAAAACAGGGCAGACTTTTTCCCTTGATCTGTTGGTGTCTGGAGAGGAATCTGATCATTCGGTATCTACTGAGTGTTTTTAAAATGCTTCCCCGTGGCATTGCTTGATGTCGATCCAACTTCATAGTTCAGGCAACTTAAGAGAGGAGAAGACTTCTCTTACAAATGCCATTTATATGTTGTTGTTTTTAGAAAAAGGCTTGGGAAGCTATTCTCTCCAAATCTCCTTGAACAGATTTTTAGTATTAGGTAAAACCGATGTAAAGAGCAATGGGAAGATAAAGAAAGACTGTTTTTAAAAAATGAAATAGCTCTTCTTTACAATGCTGAGAGAGAGAGAGAGAGAGAGAGAGAGAGAGAGAGAGAGAGAGATGAGGAAAGAAAACATCATCTAACAGGGTGCATAAAAGTTGATGTGAACCCTTTTGAACATTTAATACTCCACCATAAATATGACCTAAAATGTGATCTGTTCTCCACACGTCCTAAAACTAGCTAAGGAGATGGTCTTCTGCAATAAATAAATGAATAACTACAAGAGGGTTTTTTTTTTGTTTAATTGGGTTCCCTTTATCTTGTTTTAGGACATGTAGAGAACAGATCACGTTTTAGGCCATGTTTATGCAGGAATATTAAACATTCAGAAGGATTCACCTGCTTTTAAGCACCACCATACAAGCTGGAGCAGGGAGTTGCTGGAGACAATGAGGGCTTCGTCTTCAAATTGTTTGGTTTCTTATACCAGTTGGCACTAACTGGAGCAGGGTTTTTCAACCATGGGAACTGTAAGATATGTGGACTTCAACTCCCAGAATTCCCCAGCCAGTGTGGAATTCTGGACCTTGACATCTGCGTATTTTAAAAGTTGCCAAGATTGAGAAACACAACTGGAGGGTTGGGTGTGATAATTCCTTCCTATCCGGAGACTATCGGCCCAGAGATGGTCCATGAAACATTTAAGGTCCCTTTAAATCAGATTTTTCAAACTTGGCAACTTTAAGATGCATGAATTTCAGCGCCCAGAATTCCCCAGTCAGTGGGGAATTCTGGGAGTTGAGGCCCAAGCATCTTCAAGTGGCCAGAGCTTGAAAAACACTGAGTTAAAATATCCTTTGCAGCAACTCCCAGCTGTTTTAACCACCTCTTTTTTCCCCCTCCCTTTCCGTAGGATGAAATGAAATTTTTCAAGATCCAGCTTTTTTTTCCCTGTATTGATTATGGACTGGCGGCAATATCTTCAGTTTCAGCAACTGGTTGTTTTTTGTGTATATTTGGGGGAATTGTTATCTTGGCTTTTTAGGGGGAGCTGTTTGGAAGAATTGGGGGGGGGAGGGCAGTAAGCGATATTGGGGTTCCTATGAATCTCTTCTTTCCTAGCTACTTTTTTACTTGCCGTTCTGTTACCCTTTCTAGGCTAAAATACTTTTTTTTCCCTGTGGCTCATTTGGCCGATATCTACCCTGACAAGCATTGCCTTCTTTCATGTTTGGACAGATGTTTTCTCTTTACACTTTCACTTTTTTAACTTAAGAGTCAGTGAATGAAGAATAAGGCACTGGGCCGTTACACGCTTTGTTTGTTGAAAATAAACAAACATTGGCTCTTTTTTTACACGAGCGAGCGCTTGTTCTCCAGCAGAAGAAAAACTGTGAGAAAGACAGGAGCCTTATTTAAAACAAAACAAATCCCATCCAAGGCAGGAAGACTGCGGAATTAGGAAAGACAAAGTTGACCTTCAAGAAGCAGGAGAGGATCCCACCGTCCAAAATGAGGGTGTGGGGAGATTAACAGTGTATCAGCGCGGTTGTATTTTGTTTTTATGGTTTGGGGTGTGTTCTGCACCCCAGCTCCTCAATTTCATTCATGGACCTCCCTAGGTCTCTTTGCAAGAGCCTGCACATTACAGTTTCGCCTTTTGTGCAAAACGCAGCATTGAAAACATGGAGGGATAAACAATCACTTACTATTTTAGGAGCCGCGCAAAGAGTCTCCCTCTCTTTGACCTGTGGTGTTTAGTCCAACATCTAATCCGTTTGAGGGAATTTAGGTTTTTTTTTTAAAAAAAAAAAATCGTCCTCTTTTTAGACTCTTCCCTTTTGCAGCTCTCCATTGTTAGCGCTTCGGTGTTCAGTCTTAAGGTAATACGCCTTGAATTTCAGCGGTGCTTTGCTATTATTTGCATGCCAGTGCATGCAGAAGAAGGGAAGGCAGTTGATGTACGGAGGACCCGGTATATATCATGCTGTCTCTGCACTGTGCAGTTTAAATGTCCCCCCATCCAGCACTTCCTTTCATCAAAATAAAAAATAACAGAATCTTGCTATGGTAGCGGTTTAGAACGAATGACATCAGGGTTCCCCCACTTCCTTTTATCACCCGCCTTGCCTACGGCGCCCAGGGGGCTATAAACCAGGCCGGGCCAAAGACAGCGCAGAACAGTGTTTTCCCCAACTACTAGAGAAACCAATCATAAAAGGCCTCTGTTGGATATTCAGCCCTCATAAAAAATGCGCCGTCTCTTCCATCTCTGGGTATGTCAAAAGCTGGGCCTCTCCATCACGCCAAATCAGCGGTGCTCCATTATCGGGGAAAACAAATCGGGCAATGGGGTGATTACGGTTAGGTGCTGTTTTGCATCTCCCCAGAGGCATCCCTCTCTTTGCCAAGGTACCACTTGGACTACGGTAAGCCTGGTTATCAGCAGAAGATCCAGGATAACTGGGCTGCCTTTCAGAATTCTGTTCTTGTTCTTAAAGAAAAAAAAAGGGGGGGAGCTATTCCTTGCTTTTCAGAAATAATATAGTTGAAACAAAATGAACTCCGGTTTTAAGAAAGGTCTTATCCCCAGAGAAGAGGGAACGTGGGAAAGTTAACATGGAATATAATATGCAGAGCAGAGTCTTATGCACTGTTGCAGTGTTTCTTAATCCGAGCCACATTAAGATAGTTGGACTTCAACTCCCAGAATTCCCCCGCCCTCATGCGTGGACTTCAATTCTCAGAATTCTCCATCCATCATGCGTAGACTTCAACTCCCAGAATTTCCCAGCCATGCATGGACTTAAAGTCCTAGAATTCTCCATCCATCGTGCATGGACTTCAACTCCCAGCATTCTCCAGCCATGCATGTATTCAACTCCCAGAATTCTCAGCAAGCATGTATGGACTTCAACTCCCAGCATTCTCCAGCCATCATGCACAGACTCCCAGAACTCTCTAGCCAGCATTCTGGGAGTTGAAGTCCAGCTGGAGAAACATGGATCTATTTAGGAGTTGATAACTGCTACAATATTTTGGCTATAAAAAGGGAATGGAGTCTCAGCTGAGGGGCTGACTGGTTCTCAAAACAGACAATCTGCAATTTAGGGCAGCCCAGTGGTGGGATTCAGCCAGTTTGCACCAATTTGGCAGAACCGATAGCTAATTTTTTGTTGCCCAGACCCAGAATGGACTTCTGGAAGCACACAGAGAACTGGTTGTTCACATATTTGAATCCTACCACTGGGGCAGCCCATTGTAAATGCAAACAGGAAGTATTTTAGCCCAGCAGTGGAAGAGAGATCCAGAATGCTGGATTCACACACCAGACTGAACCCTAAAGCTAAGCTGTATTCATATCACGTGTTGTGGCCAGAGAAATTGACTGCATTCTGACATAAGGTGATAACCTGGTTCATAAAACGTGTGAGAACAAGACAACAGTTGGATTTCCACAATGCTGAGTCACAAACTATCCAGTCTTCATTTAGCTTATCCTAGCTCAGCCTAGCATATTGTGAAATCTGCATTATCCGTCTTTATCAAGGCGCTTTTGCTTTGACAGCTCTATAACAAGCAGCAATAAAGCCGGTTAAGGGGGGTTTTATTTGTTGTTTTCTGCACCAGATTTGCATGTCATGCTTGTCATCTGGAAACTGAATACAGCCCCAGTTCCTTTCCCCAACAAGGCATCATTTCAGCTTTCAGGGTAGGGAGACAGGGCACGGTTTTCAGCAGCAGAGGAGAGATTGACAGCCTGGGTCAATTTTCTCTGGGATGTATAAAAGATTAGAGTGTAAAACAGCAATGCATTTTAAGAGGAGGTGGTGACATCATCGGATTCAGAGAAACGGGTGCGCCTAAAATTACAGATCCTTTGCAACCTGGGCTCGGCTTCGCCCTGGGTGTCCTCTCAAATGGCACTTAAGATGGGTTATACTTATACATGAGGCCATCCTGAGCCAATCCATCTGACTCTTCTGCCAGGCTCCGCCATAAAAGAAGATGTTGCCAAGGTCTCTCGGCCCCTTTCATTTCCCGTCTTGTACTCTGCATCTCTTCTGCAGACGTACGTCCTTTTCAGCCACTATTCAGCTTCCCAAAAGGAAGGAATACCCTATGATTGATTTAAAAAAACAACCACCAACAACTAATCTTGCCAGGAGGCCCCTGATAAGAAAACTACCCATCTGGTGTTTGCCCCAAATCACCCAGCCAGCTTTCCTGCCTAAGGCAGGACTAGAACGCACCATCTCCTGGTTATTGGCCCAAAGTCACCCATCCAGTTTTCATACCTAGAGTGGAACTAGAATTCCCCGTCACCTGATGATTGGGCCAAAGTCACCCAGCTGGCTTTCATGCCAGGAGCAGGACTAGAACTCATTGTCGCCTAAAATTGCCCAGCCAGCTTTCAGGCTTAAGCGAGGGGACTAGAACCCACCACCTCCCAGTGTTTGGTCCAAAGTCACCCAGCCAGTTTTCATACCTAAAGTGGGACTAGAACTCGCTACCTCCTGATGATTGGCCCAAAGTCACCCCAGCTGGTTTTCATGCTTAAAAGAGGACTAGAACTCACTGTCTCCCAGCGATTGGCCCAAAGTCACTGAGTCAGCTTTCATGTTTAAGATGGGACTATAATTCACTCTCTCCCGCTGATTGGACCCACCCAGCCTTTTCATGCCTAACACAGACTAGAACTTACTGTCTCCTGACAGCCCAAAGTCACCCAGCTGGTTTTGATGCCTAAAGTGGGACCACAACTCACAGACTTCTGGTGCTTAGCCCAAAATCACCCAGTTGGCTTTCATGCCTAAGGTGGGACTAGAACTCGCCGTCTCTTGGTTTCTAGGCCAGGCCAACCTGGCATCTCCTCTCCTGTTCTCTAGAGGCCAAGCTACCTCACTGTTTAGATCAGTGGTTCTCAACCTTTTTAATGCCACGACCCCCAACCAGTTGTAAGTCGAGGACTACTCAACCGGTCGTAAGTCAAGGACTACTCAACTGGTGCAGCATCGTTTGCAGAATGGGACTTTTGGTGGGCTCAGCAGGGCAGAGACAGCCTGGACAATTCCTATTGGCTTTTGAAAGCCAATAGAATTAGACTCTATTCAAGAGAGTCTGTTCTATTGGCTTTCAAAAGCCAATAGAATAAAAGGGAGTAGCACAGCTAAGGAAAAGGGGGAAAAAAATGGCGGACTGCGTTGTTTGGCGACCCCCGTGAAATGGTCGTTCGACCCCAAATGGGGTCCCGACCCACAGGTTGAGAACCACTGGTTTAGATCCTGTTTCAGCCTCCCACTTTAATCCTGGATGACAAAAGGAAGAGTGAATGGCTCACCCTACAATATCTCTGCCATGGCTGTGCCCACAAGCACGGCGCAAGTGAGCTGATAAGGATTTGTGCAGAAGAGGGCCCATTTTTAGATAGGAAAGCTTCAGTACCACCACCACCCCAATTTCATGCTGGATGCTTCACACCCTCTTCTACTAATTCCCCCCTGAAAGGTTGGCGGTAGATTGGATTAAGCAACCTAATGAAGCCAAAGAGCAGAAGGCTGGCGAAGATGCTTACCTGCTAATGAGGACAATGAGGTTCGTTAAGAACCATTTCATTCTTAAGATGAGTTTGCTGCCCCGGTGAGCAGACACCATCCCTCTTGGCCCTGGCAGCTGCCACCACTTTTAGCATTCGGGACAGATGGGCCCCTTGGTTTTGATTCAAAAAGGGCAGGAGAGCAACGTGGCACCGCAAACCTGGGAAATAATTGCAAATAAAAAGGCCAGCACAAGGGCATGGGAGGATGGATCTGCTTCTATCCTTCTGGCACTTTTTTTTTTTTTTTTTTAGTGATCCTCTAAAATGATCGTTTAGTGATCCTCTAAAACAGTGATTCTCAACCTTTCTAATGCCGTGACCCCATAATACAGTTCCCCATGTTGTGGTGACCCCCAAGTGGGTGTGGCCACCAATAAGAGAGAGTAGGACAGCTAGGGAAAAGGGAAAAAAATGGCGGACAGCATGGTTTGGCGACCCCCATGAAATGGTCATTCGACCCAAATGGGGTCCCGACCCACAGGTTGAGAACCACTGCTCTAAAATGATCGTTTGAAAAAGCAGCTCTCCCTCTCAATACGGTGTGTACAACAGTGGGGCCCGTCAGGGTTGAACTCCTGGCTATGGACAGAGTTAGTCTGCAATACTGCATTTTAACCAGTGCGCCATCATAGATGCCTGTTTGTTCTCAAAAATCCATATCACAATGCAGCAATCACATTCGAGGAGATCTGGGGTGACCAGAGAAGGGCAAGGAGTGACACGGGAGCAGTCTTTCAATATTTGAGCCAAAGCACTTGAAGACAGGCCAAGAAGCAACGGATGGAAACTAATCAAGGAGAGAAGCAACCTAGAACTAAGGAGAAACTTGCTGACAGTTAGAACAATTAACCAGTGGAACAGCTTGCCTCCAGAAGTTGTGGGTGCTCCATCACTGGAGGTTTTTAAGAAGAGATTGGACAGCCACTTGTCTGAAATGGGATAGGGTCTCCTGCTTGAGCAGGGGGCTGGACTAGAAGACCCTCAAGGTCCCTTCCAATTCAGTTATTCTATAATTCTGTAATGTGCGTGTAGTATATTCACTTGAAATTATGGCAAGGTGTTCATGGGATACTAGTTGGAAGGGCCCGGAATTATCTAGAATGAAAATCAAGAAGCAAGTTGTGATTATGTTATAATCCAAAAGACATTGACGCCGTCAAAAACCTATGGGGCTAATTCTGGTGGGGAAATGATGCTGGCACATCAGAGATCGTGAAGCAGGGTGCACTGATGGACAGGTTCTGCTGCTTTGACCCTGTTCCTAAATATTTTGATGCTTCCATAAAAAGAACCGCCAACCTAGAATTTATACTATCTTGTTTAACATTAAATCCCCACCCACCCACTTCTCCGATTGTTTTAAAATATTTTTTCCTGGGAGCTCCCAGCTGAAATATTTTCCACCAGAAGAGAGTTCTGTACAGGATGACAGATGGGGAACGTGGGGAAGGAACCCTCTGGAGTAATAAAAATCAGAGCGAAGGAAAGGAATGGAAGGCAGCGGAAAGCCAGAATGTCGGCTCTATTTCCAGCTGAATCGGACTTAAGTCTTTGCTGCAAGTCTTCGGCTGAACCACCAGCAGCCCGAAATGGGGGGGGGGGGAGAAGCACAGGAAATGGGGAGCAAGGAAAACCTCAAGAGGGCGGAACGCAGCTGCGAGGACACGAGGACCTCCAGGAAAGCAGAGCAAAAAGCACATTAATGGCCCTTGGAGGGAAAGGAAAGGTCCCGCCAAGGATTCTACAGATCATCCTCGACTAACGATCACGATGGAGCCCAAGGTGTCTATTGCTAAGTGAGACCGTAGTTGAGTTTTGCCCTGTTTTACGACCTTCCCTGCCATAGTTAAGTGAATCACTGCAGTTGAATTAGTCACATGATGGTTTTGTGAATTTGCCTTGTGAAAAAGTGCCGTTGTAATTTCGACCGGTCCCTAAATGAACTGTGGTAAGTCAAGGACAGCCTGTGGTAGAGGTTTCATTTAAATCCCTCCTCGGGAACACAAGTTTGTTATTCATCCAAACTCTCTTGAGAGACCAACGAGGGATCCAGGCGGATCTACTTCTGATCGTGTGATCTACCCCTCCCGTGTGGATGCTTGTAGAATTGAGTAAATCGCTCATTTCCCTTTCTGAAAATAGAACGAATCTCTAGGAAAAACAGCCCAATATTATAGGCCAAGGGTATGCACAGCTGATCCTCCTGCTTTATTTTTATTTTTTAATCCCACCGCTAAAACCCTACCGTAGGACTTGAGAAGCATGAACGTAATGTTTAATTATGGATAAGGTACCCAACAATGCTGTGTGGGGCTTGTAGGTGGGCTGTCATAAATTGCTTAAAATATAGGTAGCAGGCCCAATGCTTCTTAAGTCCTCGTGGTATTGAACAGCTCGTAGTGTCAACCTCTTCCAAAATATTGGAATCTCTACTACTACTACTAATAATAATCTTTATTGATTAGCCCGTGGGCCATATCACAGTGCAGAGTTCCAAACACACATCATACTAAAATTCAGTAAAAACAATTTAGAATGGAATTAGTTAAAATAAAATTTGGAATAAAATAGAAAATACAATTTAAAATGACATTGGGATAAAATACATTCTTCAAGTGAAATTAGAATCAAATATGGCAATTTAAGATGCAGGTAGATAAAATATGATAAAATTATATTTCACTATCAGCCCTACAATCTACCCCTATGCCGATCTCAGCCGAACCAATTTGCTCAGGTACTGCGCTGTGTTAAATGTAATTATCAAATTCTGGCCGCACATAAGGTATTTTGATATTGGGGGGGGGGAGTCCCAATGGGTCATTCGTTTAGTGCAGAGGTAGGCAACCGTGGCTCTTTTATCACTCGTGGACTTCAACTCCCAGAATTCCTGAGCCAGCATGGCTCAGCTTGGAAACTTCTCCCTTTCTCCTCAGCATAGCTGGCTCAGGAATTCTGGGAGTTGAAGTCCACGAGTCATAAAAGAGCCAAAATTGCCTACCCCTGGTATAGGCCAAGGTATCTGTCTCTCACCGTCTTATACAGGCAGAGTGAAATAGAATATGAGGGGAATCGCTACTACTATAGGTAGCCCTTGACTTACAACAGTTCATTTAGTGACTGTTCAAAGTTACAATGACACTTTGGAAAAGTGACTTGTGACCGTTTTTCACACTTAATGACCATTTCAGAATCCCCAGGGTCACTTGATCATAATTCGGACACTTGGCAACCGGCTCCTATTTATGATAGCTTCGGTGTCCCAAAGCCACGTCATCCCATTTTGCGACCAATGCGGAAGCCAGATTCACTTAACAACTGCAGTGTTGTTGTGCGGCAAGAAAGGTCATAAAATGGAGCAAAACTCACTTAACGAATGTCTTGCTTAGCAACAGGAATTTTGGACTCAGTTGTGGTCCTAAGTTGAGAGTTGGAAGTCCACAAGTCATCAAGGGGCCATCGTACCCCACCTTTGGCCCACTGGGTGTACCCCTTTCTATACCGGTTTGGGGGGGGCTGCCCTTCCTTCCCCCCCTTTGTTCTGCAACCTTCACTGCTTTCTGCAGGCTTGTGCGCGCTCACGAAGAAGGATCCCACAACCACTGGTGTTAAAAGAATTAATCAGGGGGATTTATTGAAGTATCAAAGGTGGTTAAAAGGCAGACATAGATATTTACATATATATTAACTTTCGGGCACGGGGGGAAACAGTCTTGGGCTGCAGAGGAATAAGCCCCTCTATACACATCCCAACCCCCAGTTATATATTAATTATTATATTTTTCCTTTTTTTTTTTTTTTAATCTCCCCTTCTTCCAAGACACAAACAATATAAAATAAAAACTGCGAGCCGGAGACGGACACAGAATCACACGGTTGGTTTCTTCTTCTGTTTTGTTTGCATGTTTTCTCCCCACACAAGAGACAAAGGGGAAGGGGTGGGGAGGGGGAGATTTGCAGGAGAATGGCAGGGAAGAGGTGGGGGGTGGGTGGGCATTTACTGGCACAAATGAGAAAAGTCGGCAAAACTGGAAGGAATCATGGGGGGAATTCACCAGGCGTAGGACGTTGTCAGAAGTTGAGAGAATGTGTTGGAAGTGCTCCTAGGAGGGTCCAGGGCGAAGCAGAGGAAGCGGGCAGGGGAACAACAGCTGCCTTGGGAAGGGCGAGATAGGAAAGGCGTTCCAGGGGGGAACTTCCCCAAAATTCAGCTATTCCAGGCGGGTTTTTTTTTTTTTTAATCCACAGCAATCCGATGCAATTGTCCCTAGGGCAAAGCAGATGTTTTTAACAGTGGCTCCTGAACCCATCTTCTACCACAGCTGCGTCTCAGAAAGTGAAGTTCATTGAAACAGGATCAAATCCTGGGGCTGAGGGGTCTCTACGTTCTGGTTTGTTTGTTTTGTTTTGTTTCATTTTGCAGAACTGCGAAAATCAGCTTCTTCTGAAGGAGATGGAATGGGGAGGGAGGAGGAGGAGGAATGGGAGACGGAAAAGGGGAGAGAGAGAGACTGAGAAGGAGTAGGGGAGATGGAGAGAAGAGGAAAAGAGAAGAAGGAAAGGAGAGGAAGAAGAAGAGTAGAGGAGGGAAAGAGAGAAGGAAAGAGAAAAAGGAGAGGATAGTCTAGGTCAGTGATGGCGAACCTTTTAGAGACCGAGTGCCCAAAATCTGGCCCCGCCTTTGCTCCACCCCCTGCCCCGCCCTCACCCCGCCTGCCCGCAGGGCCACTCACCGCCTCCAGGGCCCGCCGCAGATCGCCCAGGCAGCCCAGCAGCGCCATGGTGGCCCCACCCTCTCCCCGCGCCCTGCAGCATCAACTGTGCACGATGGAGCGTGGGGGCAGAGTCTTGTCTACGCTGTCTGGCTGCCATGTCCTTGGTTGTGCTGCTCCGCGTGGGCCACGCTTTGGGGCGACTCTCCTCCAGGGGGGCTGCTGGAGAGGAGGGGGTTGCGGGGGAAGGCAAGGCTGGGGCAACGGCACGTGTGCCCACAGAGAGGGCTCCGAGTGCCACCTCTGCACCAGTGCCATAGGTTCGCCACCACTGGTCTAGGCTGATGTTCTTGTGGTTTTAGGTCGGAGCTGGATGGTCATTACCACCTGCCCAAGATGGAGGGAGGGAGGGAGGGAGGGAAGGAGGGAAGGGGGAGGGAGGAGGAGCTGGAGACAAAGTCAACTTTAATCTGCATTCGCCAATATATTTAAATCGGCCGGACTTAAAAACATAACGATAAAAATAGCCCCCGTCTTCCGCCTTCTGCAGAAGCTGGCCAACGCCATGCTGTCCAGGACGGATGACAAGGTGAACATGGTGTGGGAACTGGATGCTCAGGTGGGCTTGGCGGTCCCATCTCCTGCCCTCCGGCCAAGAACGTCACAATAACAAGGATGAGACAGACAGACAGACAGACATCCCCATCCTCTTCCCCCCCCTCCCTTGCCCTCCCCAAACTTATCATGGCTTTGAAGAAATAAAAGAGTCAACCTGCTTTTGACAGCCCGAGAGTCCTCGAGCAGCCTGGTCATGCAGCCGAAAAGGATCCCCCACCCTGAAGAGACCCCTCAAGACATCCCCCCAGACGCCCCTTGTTGCAGACGGCCATCACAATGGCACTCCTTAATGGTGGAATCGCGCAGGGTGGAGAACGCAGACACGAGGTCTCCGTGATCATCCAGAACCCAGAACTCAAGGTCAAGGGTTCTCCATCCATCCAGGAGACCAGGGTGCCCCAAAGCTACGTCCATTAGCTCTGCCTCCCTCCCCAGATACTGTGAATCTCAGTGCTAATATCTGGGAAGGTCAGACCTAACAAGCTATGGGGGCCACTGGGATGTCCCTCACCCCCCCTTCAATGTACCATAGGTCTTCCACCTCCCCACTTGGATTTTATTTACAAACAGCCGCAGCCCTCCCCCTCCCTCAAAAGTACTGCTTCCACCCCAAAGAGAAAAGAAGTGCAGCAGCTCTGCCCCCTCCCACTTTTTTTGGGGGGGGGGGAACAGAGTTAGGTATGCGTACCCAGCCCCACCAAATCCACAGGGCATAACTCTGGCGAGGATGAAGGGGTGGTGGTGGTGGAAAGAGGCCTCTTGAAGGCAGAGGGGTGGAGCTCCTGGATAAGGGGAGGGGTTAAAAAAATCCTCGGTTTCCAAAATAAAACCGGGAACAGCGGCAGCCGCCAGTGGTTGGTTTTGTACACGATGGGTTTTGTTTCATTAAAGCATCTTTTTGTGTGTTTTTCCTTTTTTTTTTTGAATCCAGCCCTCCCCACCCCCAGCTCTTCGCGAACTCTCTCCCCTTTCCAGCGCACTCCTTCCTTAGCTGCTTCTCCTAACACCCCTTTCCCCCCTCTTCCTCCTCCTCTTCCTCCTCCTTCTCCTCTTCCTTCCCCCGGCTTAGATGAAAAACTCCTCCTTGCGTTTATGGCCATCTCCACCGTTCAGAAAAGCCTCACGGGCCTCTCCATGCTCATCCAGCCCGCTGGCCTCGTGCGTCAGGTAGGAACCTGTGAGGGCAGACAAGAGAGGGTGGGGGGGAAGAGAGAGAGAGGGGTGGATTAAGTGCATCCTCCCAAACTGGCTCCACTCGGTTTGCACATGGGTGGAATTAAATAAGAGTCCATGGTGTTTAGGAGGGGTTTTGATTTCGCCCTCTCGTGATGACCTAAAGCAGCGGTTCTCAACCTATGGGTCGTGACCCCATTTGGGGTAGATCGACCTCTTTTGCGGGGTCGCCAAATGCGGCGATCCGCCATTTTGTCCCCTCCGGGGGCGCGCTGCGCCTCCGGGGGGGCGGTGCCGCGCACGTGCGCCGCGCGTGGGGGCGGCGGCGCGCCTCCGGGGGCGGTGCCGCGCATGCGCACCGCGCGTGGGGCGGTGGCGCGCCTCCGGGGGTGGCGCCGCGCATGCGCGCCGCGTGCGGGGCCCCCGCCCCCATGCGCGCTGCACGTGGGGGGGCGCCGCCGCACATGCGCATAACGTTTGTGTGACGGGGGTCGCCGTCACACAAACGTTGAGAACCGCTGACCTAAAGATTCTAAACTGATGCCCCGTTTGACTCTGCCAGCCTCTCTCCTCTAGGTGGTACTGTTCCTCCTCCTGGAGATGACTGATTCTGGCACAATTATTATTGGTTGAACAGAAGGTCTCTCGTGTGTTCTGCCCTTCTTTAATATCTTAAGCAGGGGAAGAAATGAACATCAGCTTTAGTTCTCGCAGTGGCTCTCACTGCATTGGAAGCTAAGGAAGCTAAAGGATTAAACAGGACTGTTCTCCAGGCTGACATCAATAGAGGTGGTTAGATGAGCTTTGGATGCATGACAAGACTTTATTCCAAGGGATAACATGATTGCTCTTTGAGGAACCTCACCTTTTTTTTTATTCGTTTCAACAACAATCCCTGGTTGAGATGGGGGGGGGGCTATACAAATTGATTCAACCAAGCAACTACCAACAAACCCAGAATGCCACTCTGGCTGGCCCACCCTTCAGTTGATTTGAGGTGTGATCTCAATATGGCTGGAAGAACAAGAAGCAGCAGCTGAGGGAACACACTCAGCTCTAGAGACTTAACAAAAAGAACGTCCCAAGAAAAGAAACTGGACTGGCCTTTCACTAATAAATTTAACCCATATCACTGGATTGTGTCGTGCAGCATTCCCCAATGCTCTGGGATAACAAGGTTGGCACAATAACCTTGTTATTATTCTCTGGGCAGCAGAATAAAGTCGATAAGGAAGAGCTAGCCAGACATCTGGCTTTACACTTAGGGCAGCCTTTGTCAATCCAGTGCCCTTCATATGTTGTGACCATCATCATCCCACCAGCCACAAGACACATAGTGGCTGTGTGGCTATAACCGAGGTCTTACAGCTGTTGCTCCAAGGTGGGGCTGCTTTGCCTGGAGGACTGGTCTTAAGAATACCAGTGAGATCACGGGCCCTCAGGGTTGAATCACAAACCCATCCCAATTCGACTGGATGCCCCCCCCCCCTCAAAAAAGCAGCAGCTTCAGTCAAGGAAGGCTGACAATAATTCCTCTTGCTGGAGAACCAGCAAACCATGACACTCGTAGATCACGTCAAGTGCCCTCATATCTCATCTCAACTCATACACCTACATGCTGTTAGCTCTGGCACATTATTTAAGGTATGTACAAGGCCACGTTATTTGTGAGGCTGACGGTATCTGCCCATCCCACTAAATCAGATCGGGAAGGCATGGCCCATGTCCCTTCCCCCCCCCCCGCCGATCTGATGGCCTTTAGAGGAACATCTTCTCTGTAGATACTCCAGACCTTTGAAATAGCTGACTGCTTGAGATACAAGGATCCTTCCTTCAAGTCTTCTTAAAGAGAGCGAAGACCTCTTCCCTCGGGCATTAGGATAGAAATGGAGATCAACGGTGCAGTTGGTCTTGCACCTGATAGGAAAGGCTTGCTCTCTTTTTAATCTTGTTTTTACTGATAGTTGCGAGATGCCTAGCCCAAGGATCACTGTGAGATGAGTGGCCATGTTAGTTGTTTAAGAAGAGACTGGACAACCATTTGTCTGAAATGGTATAGGGTTTCCTGCCTGAGCAGGGGGTTGGACTAGATGACCTCCAAAGTCCCTTCCAACTATTATTATTATTATTATTATTATTATTATTATTATTGATATCGCACAGTCAGCCAGATGTTCAGACTGTACCAATAGTAATAGGCGCCTTGGGTGCAATCCCAAAATAACTGGAGCACCACTTGAACACCATTGGCATTGACAAATTCGCCATTAGTCAATTGCAAAAGGCGGCCTTACTAGGAACTGCTTCCATCCTGTGACGATATCTGTAATACCATCAAACATCCACATCTGCTTATCCCAGGTCCTGGGTAAGGACTCGATAGGTAGACAAAAATGCCAAATCCAGTCTGAACATCTAGTTGACTGTGCGATGATCAATAATAATAATAATAATAATAATAATAATAATAATAATAATAATAATAATAATGGTGTCACAGTGAGTTTCACTGGACACCACCCACTACAAACTCCTTCCACTCAATGGTACCTAGTTGGTCTCTGCATTCAGTGACCACAGTGAGAATAACGGAATAACAGAGTTGGAAGGGACCTTGAAGGTCTTCTAGTCCATCCCTCTACCCAGGCATCCTATACCATTTCAGACAAATGATTGTCCAATCTCTTCTTAATAACCTCCAGGTTTGGAGCACACACAACTTCTGGAGGCAAGTCGTTCCACTGATTAGTTGTTCTTACTGTCGGGAAGTTTCTCCTTAGTTCTAGCTTGGTTCTCTCCTGGATTAGACTCCATCTATTGCTTCTCCTTCTGCCTTCAGGTGCTAAGGAGAAGAGGCCAAGGCAGAGCAGGTGAATGGGTCTTAGGAAGCTCCCCCTGGCTGTGTTGGTTCTATGTCTTAGAATTTGACTCTGACACCAGGTGGCTTGCAGAGAGCTGCTATGTCCTGCTTCCCACATTCCCAAGAGGGAAGACAACGAGCGAAGCTGGTCCCACCTGGCATTAGCATCTCAACCCAACGCTCAATACCCCAAATACATGATTGCAATGCCCACTTGGAAGCAATCTGAAAAACAACACCAGCTTCCCCTTCATTGGCCAGCGGTCAGAGATGAGGTTACTAAAACTATTTGCGAGACCGCCTACTACCTCATAGTTCCCTTCGTCCGGTTAGATCCCACAGGCTGGGCCTCCTTCAGGTCCCGTCGGCCAAGCAGTGCCATTTGGCAGGGCCGCGGAGGAGGGCTTTCTCTGTGATGACGCCCACGTCTTGGAACTAGCTCCCCCCGGAGATTAGGACCGCTCCAACCCTGTTGGTTTTCCGTAAGCTGCTTAAGACCTGGCTTTTCCGGCAGGCCTGGGGTTTATAAAATCTGACCCCTGGATGACTGTTATTGTACTGTTTGTTTTGTCATGTTTTATGGTGTTTTTATTGTTAGCCGCCCAGAGTCCTGCGGGAGTGGGGCGGCTTATAAATTTTAAAAATAAATAAATAAATAAAAGACCCTCCTGGATTCCCGTTACTAACCTTTCTGCCGGATGGAGCACCAGACCATGACGATGAGTATGCAGATGACGAGAAAGACGAGGAGAGCCAGGATGCCCCCCACAATGGCATAGGGCACTGAAGTCTGGGCCTCGACAATAGCTCCAGGGTCTGCAAAGGAGAGGGAAAGTGCTGAAGGCAGGAACCAGAGGTGAAAATGTCTCTTGCAAGAATTGCCCTGCTTTGCAAAAAGGAAAAAAAAAAAGGGGGGGGTCTCCTCCATTTTTCTGGTCTGTGGCCACCCTCTTGGCAGTGACGAACCAACAGCCCAAGTCAGCAGCCAGTTCCCCCTCAGGCCTCAGCAGAAAACTGTTCCCCTTGACCTGGAAGGATGAGCTTTACAGTTGGTTCTCAAAACGGCTGACTGACCCAGAGTGAAAAAGGGTCAGCTCCATCTGGTGGCCCCCATCATGTGCTAGTTTTATGTGAAAGGCCCTGGGCAGGGGATGAGGGGTGTCTGTGAACAGGCACTTCTTCTCCACTCAGCCACTGTCCAAAGTGAAATATTGGGACCAGATTTTTCCGTTGCTAAGCAAGTTAAGTTGTGAAGCAAGTCGTGCCTGAATTTTTACGACCATTTTTGGCAGGGTTCTGAAGTGAATCCATGAGGTTGTTAAATGAATCACTGTGGTTGTTAAGCAAATCCAGCTTTCCTGATCGGAAGCAGGCCGGGAAGGTTACAAAGAGAGATCACAGGACCCTGGGATGCTGTAGGTGTCGTAAACACAGGCCAGTTGCCTCGTGTCCAGATTCTGAGGATGAGATTGTGGGCTGGCTGAGACAGTTGTTAATGTGAGTCATGAGTCAGGTTTTTTTTTCAGTACTGTCCTACGTCGCATAAGAATGCATTCCTGCTCTGGGGAGTGGTTGGAACGGGACAACTCGCCAAAGGACAATTCAACAACTGAATTGAATGATTTAAAATAATTTTACAAAAACATTTTAAGTTTTGTCCTTCACATTTCCTCCTGTCCCTCCTTTGGCGTCCTTTCTTTAATGATTCTATTCCACTATTTTTGCAACATCGGCGTAACTCATGTTCCGTGGCAAATTGTCCCATGCCGAATTGGCAGGGGCGAGTTGTCCTAGACCAGGGGTGGGGAACCTTGGCTCTTTTATGACTCGTGGACTTCAACTCCCAGAATTCCTGAGCCAGCCATGCTGAGGAGAAAGGGAGAGGTTTCCATGCTGAGCCATGCTGGCTCAGGAATTCTGGGAGTTGAAGTCCACCAGTCATAAAAGAGCCGAGGTTCCCCACCCCTGTCCTAGGCCCAAGTGTGAGAACTGGGTCTGGGACCGCGAAGACCAAATGGAACAAGTGCCGGAAGATCTGGAACGCGGGGTTCTGGGTTGAGGAGGCTGCGAAGATTTTGCTTACTTACCATAAACCACCAGCACGTACTGATCTGAGGACCGTCCATGTTTATTGGCCACGTGGCACGAGTAGGTGCCATTATCCAGCATGCTGAGGTTAGGGATGGTCAGCACTTCACCCTCTATCAGGGCTCGCTCCGGCAACGTGTCGTTCGCTCGGCTCCATTTAATGTCTCTGGGCCTGAAAGGTGCGCCCAAAGAATCTATTAGCCCCTGCCTCACCAGTCCCTTCTAGCCACCAGCATAGCATCCTTGCCGCCTCCACACACCTCCTTTTTGAAACCGGTTCTTTCTCTTCAAGGTTATTTGCTGCCAGACCAGGTGATGGATGGACACGTGAGGCAGCGGTTGGATCAAGGGGCACTCTGAGTAATAACTCTGCTCAGGAATTGTACCCATTAGTTAGGCGGGTCAGGGAGAGCGGCAAGGACAGCTTGTTCACAAAAGGGTGGAAAAAAATTGAGGATCAGGCCTCAGGACTCTAATGGGACAGGCAGGCATTTAGGCGAAATTGTTGGCTTTATTATATTGATGGTAACTATGCCCAGGAGAGGAATCTTTTTTTTAAAAAAAAAATAGTTTATTAAAAATATATATATAAAACATTTTATATATATATAAAAATATATATATTTATATATATTATATATATATAAAAAAGAAAAAAGGGGGGGACCCACAACAAACAAGGCATTAAAAGTGTCCTTAAAAAAAAGGTTAACACATATGCCCACAGCATCCTTCCTAACTGAATGTTGATTAGTACAATACAACAATGTTAATCTCCCACCCATTATGAAACAGGCCAAAAGAATTTTATATCAATGACAAAATAGTTCACAGGAAAGACAATACTGATACGAATAATATATAAGGATATAAAATTAATAAAGATTATCCGTAATAATGAAAAAAAAGACAAGATTAAAATCACCAAAACCCCTGTTAACAAACTGTTATGCTTATCAACTTGTAAAAAATGTACTGTGGCTTCAATCCCAAATCATCCTAAAAAAAAATTAAGCCAAACTGATCCCGGATCAAATATCCATGTCCAGCAATTATCTATTGCTGATTGGTTAAATGCAATAAAGCCAATCTTCAAAGCCAATCTGCCCAGGACAGACATCCTTTTTCCACTTGTGCCTGTTGGCATTAGCAGCAAAATACAGACCAGTATTGTTGACACACTGGCTGTGAAAGTTGGACCATAAGAAAGGCTGAGCGCCAAAGAATGGAGGCCTTTGAACTATGGTGCTGGAGAAGACTCCTGCGAGTCCCTTGGACTGCAAGGCGTTCAAACCGGTCAGTCCTAGAAGAGATCAACCCTGACTGCTCTTTAGAAGGCCAGATCCTGAAGTTGAAACTCAAATACTTTGGGCACCTAATGAGAAGGACTCACTGGAGAAGGGCCTAATGCTGGGAAAGATTGAGGGCAACAGAAGAAGGGGACGACAGAGAATGAGATGGCTGGATGGAGTCACTGAAGCAGTAGGTGAGAACTTAAATGGACTCCAGAAGATGGTAGAGGACAGGAAGACCTGGAGGAACGTTGTCCATGGGGCCGCGATGGGTCGGACACGACTTCGCAATTAACAACAACAAAAATTGTTGACACACAGCGCAGGGAGCAAGCCAGGGTCTGTATCCTGTCCTCCCTTTGCATATTCTTTTTTTTTTTTAATCAAATTGCATCTCCTTCCCCAAGGTTATAGAAAACATGCCAAACCCGATCGTCGGAGGAGAAAAGTGACTCAGAAGTGCACCTGCCACCAACAGCTATCGCCCATGTCTCATTTTTCACACCTGCACGCACCGTCTCTGAAACAGCTGATGCTCCAAGACAGAGAGAAGTCAAAATTGACATCAACATCGCCTGGAAGAAGTTGGGATCTTTTGCGCTAGATCAAAAAGGTTCTCTGCTGGTTTACAGGGGCAAACAAAAAACATTGCACCCCATCACTAAATTTGACCAATCGAAGGGTAGAAATTAAGATTTGCGCGGTGGGAGTGGCAGGACTCCGTGAGTCTTGACGTTGACCACCATATATCTGTAATGGCAGTTTCTCAATCTTGACCACTTGAAGAGGAGGCGACTTCAACTCCCAGAATTCCCCAGCCAGCTGTGGTCAAGGCTGAGAAACACTGTGTTTTGGCATTCCACTCCAGCAACTTTGAGCGCAATCCACAGTTGGACCGTCTCCCCTCCACCCGCCATTTTGCATTTCGCTCTACGCTCAAGCCCGAAAATTGTATTTTAGAAATGGAAGCAGTTAATGGACTTTGAAACCTTAGTTTTTTTTAAAAAAAGGCAGAGCCTTCAAACTTAAAATCTGCCCAACTCTATTCTAGGGCATCCTATATCCTGGGCTACAGGCAGGGCGAGACATTTATTTATCAGATTTTTATCCTGCCTTTGTTATTTTTATAAATAACTCAAGGCAGCAAACATACCTAATAACTCTTCCTCCTCCTATTTTTCCCACAATAATCCTGTGAGGTGGGTTGGACTTTAGAGAATGACGCTCAAAGTCATCCAGCCAGCTTTCATGCCTAAACCAGGACTAGAACTCACAGTCTCCTGGTGATTGACCCAAAGTCACCCTGCTGGCTTTCATGCCTAAGGTGGGACTAGAATTCACTGTCTCCGGGTGATTGGTCCAAAGTCACCCAGTCGGCTTTCATGCCTAAGGTGGGACTAGAATTCACTGTCTCCTGGTGGTTGGCCCAAAGTCACCCAGCCAGCTTTCATGCCTGAGATAGAACTAGAACTCCCACACTTCCCAGCATGTTGTTTGGGGAATTCTGGGAACTGAAGTCTGCACAGCTTAAAGTTGCTAAAGTCGAGAAACACTGCTCCAGAATCCCACATCCATGGCCATTGGCCATGCTGGCTAGCAATCAGAAATCTACAAGTTATCTCCGAGGTTCCCAGGTTGGCTGATCAGAAACTGCTTCCCCCATCAAAAGACCCCGAAGGGTCTTTTGTGAAAAGTTGGGTTTCTGATATATTGTTTTAGTTCAAATGCAGATAGAGGCAGATCTGGTCTAATAATCAATACCCTTGGTTGATGAAGCCCAAAATATTCCAATATCTCACTTGACAGCTCTCTCTCTCTCATTTGTTAGGGATGGCCAATTTCAGCTTTTCTCAGCACCAGATTTGGGGTTTAATACATGTCAGAAAAAAAAACAACAACGCTCTTTTTCTTTTCTTTTCTTTTTTTAAAGAGCAGGGTAACCAGCTGCCACAACCATGAACTTCCTTTTCCCAAAACGGGATCTCAAAGCTGCCTGGTTTTCTGCATCAGGTTCTTCCCTGTTGCCACCAAAATAAGTCCAAAGTTTGCTTTTTCCCATCCGGAAGAAGGACTTACAGTGGGTTGCCGTTAACAGCGCAAGTCAAAACTAAGGTGTCTCCTTCCCTCATGACTCCTTGAGGGGGATGGATTCTTGCTGTGGGTGAATCTAGAAAAAGAGAAGAAGGAAAAAGAACAGTAATAATAATACCCTAATAATAATCTGTATATAATAAAAAAAACCAATACTAAATTTGTAGGCCACCTGACTCTCGAAGACCCTGACGATTCTTTTGCTTTGCTTAAAAAGATGCAAACTCTTCAAGAACAAGAAGAGGCAAGTTATAGAAGCCATTGTTCTTTCAGATGTAGGAATGCCGCAAGCCTGATCTGACACCAATGCAAGTTTAGAATTATTTGCAGGTAGTCCTCGAGTGACTGCCCTAATGGAACAACATGCCCATCATGGTTAGGAGTCGTAAGAGCCATAAACTGGATCGGTCACATCACCAATCCAATTTTACGATCTTCTACTGTATGTGGTGTCTGTTAAGTTAATGTGGTGGCAGTAAGGTGAATATGGCGGTCACCAAGCAAATGCCACAGCTGGTAAGCGAATCTATTGTAAGTGCAAGTTTGGCGTCAAACTGTGGTAAACTATGGTCGCGTGACCATGGGATGCTGCAAAACGGCCATAATGTCGAGCATCTGAGGTAACATGACAGGGGGGGGTGTGTAAAGAAGCTAAGAAAAAGACTCAGGCATGTCTTGAGCAGAGATTTGAAGCTGCTGCAGAGCTGCTTGTCACAGCTTGAGACAGCTTGAGAGTCTCTCTGTGTTTATTGGTTCTATATACTTTTATATATAAATGTATATACTTTTTACATACATAGGCTTTTACCATTAAATGCTGACATTTTACATTCATAAGTTTAACCATTAGATGCTGACATAAAGTTTCTTCATTGGAAAATTCCTTCATATAAGCAACTATTTTCTAGTAACATATTACCTGATCAGAGACCAGGTAAAAACAAATACAGGTAGATCAAAAGGAGAAAGAACTAACGAAGGCAGGAAGAGATAGGAAGGAACTTAAGCATATTATCTGTTTAGGTAGGTGAGGCATTAAGTCAAAAGGGTATGACCTTCTGGCTGCTTCACTGGGACAAAGGGTATCAAAAGGTTATGAGGTTTGGGGGGGGAAGCACGGCAGTTTGCTGCGCGTGCAGTTTTCCCCACGGGGGGGGCACTGTTGGAACTTCCTCTTTGAGTCTGTTGCAACGCCGAACTGTCACTAAGTTGTAAGGCGAGGACTTCCTGCCTTCTCCTGGGTAGCTTTCCTTTAATGAGGATTGTCAGATTTAAAGACAGCGGCAGATATTGGCTCCCCTCAAAAACGTTCAAGTTGGCCCGAAGTGTTTCTGACAGCTCACTGAAGGAGTCTCTTTGTAGCCATTGTAGGAGGGAACTACACGGATGCCCGAAAATAAAAAGTAAAAAAAAAAAAATCAGATTCGTCTGATCGTCCCTTTTCCGACACACCGACTGGAATCAAAGGCAGAAGCTTGAGGGAGCTGCAGCTTTTATGAGCTTTTGAATCCAGTGTGTGAGTCGGAAAAGGTGCTACTGGTTTCCTTCTGATCTCGGGAAGGAATCCTGGCATCCCTCTCTGTCACAGCCTCTCAGGCTTTTGACAAGTCGCTCTCCTTGTTCCTTTACTTTCTCTTCACAAGTTTTACTGACTGCTCCCCTGACCATCTCCTCATACTTGTCTGAACTAGTTCCAGATTGCCTTTCCCTCCCCCCCTTTCCCGCCCTTTTTAGACTCATATCACATGGCTCTCTCAGATGTCTGTCTCTAAGACGCTCCCCCTGCAAGTTCTTCTCCACAAAAGATGCAGAGCCAAGCCAGAAATTCCACACTCTCTAGCTCAGTGTTTCTCAACCTTGACCATTTTAAGGCATGTGGACTTCAACTCCCAGAATTCCACAGCCAGCAATGCTGGCTGTGGAATTCTGGGAGTTGAAGTCCACATGCCTTAAAATGGTCAAGGTTGAGAAACACTGCGGTTTAGCTGAGGCAATTGATCCGTTTCCTAAAATATTAACTTTTCATTTGACTATTCCAGCCTCACAGTTACTTTCGGCCCCTTCCCACCAGCGGATCAAGATCGTTGCAAATTTTATTTGTGTCTCCTAGAATATTAGCTAACCCGCCCAGCCAGGGGTCATCCACAACTGATTAGCATTCCCTCTGCTTTCTCATCAAACTCATTAAAATGCTGGAGAGCCAGGGCTGAACCGGGGAGCAGCCTCACTCCCTTCTGGTGTAGAATCTTCTCCCGCACTCTTTGACCTGAGATTTTCAGGCTAGCTATCTGTCTACTTCATGTCACACCACCCAGCCTACTCTTAACTGCTTTGCTAATCAGACTGTGGTAGAGTGTACTTGTTCAAATGCTGCTTCTGGTTTTCTCGGCCGGCATCTGGTTGATCGATGGGAAAAGAGGATATTGGACTAGATGAGTTTTTAATCTGATCTAGGAGAGCTGCTCTCACTGTTTGTTCTCCAGTTTAAAATGCTGGAGTATTCTGCTACTAGTGATGTCTGTCTGTCTGTCTGTCTGTCTGTCTGTCTGTCTGTCTGTCTGTCTGTCTGTCTGTCTGTCTGTCTGTCTGTCTATCTATCTATCTATCTATCTCTATATCTATATCTATGTCTGTCTGTCAATCTATATATGTATATCTATATGTATATGTAGGTCTTTGGTTGTTGGGTTTTCTCCCACGTAAAATTGGAAGTGTCTTGGTGAAGTTTCAACGAAGTCCCATTCGTCATCTTCAGGCTGGTGTTTTCAGCTTTGTGCTTCGAGCAGCAATGTGTATATCTATATATCTATATCTGTCAGTCTCTCTCTCTCTCTCTCTCTCTCTCATCTATCTATCTCTCTCTCTCTCTCTCTCTCTCTCTCTCTATCTATCTATCTATCTATCTATATCTATATCTATGTCTGTCTGTCAATCTATATATGTATATCTATATGTATATGTAGGTCTTTGGTTGTTTGGGTTTTCTCCTGCGTAAAATTGGATGTGTCTTGGCGACGTTTCAACGAAGTCCCATTCGTCATCTTCAGGCTGGTGTTTTCAGCTTCGTGCTTCGAGCAGCAATGTGTATATCTATATATCTATATCTGTCAGTCTATCTCTCTCTCTCTCTCTCTCTCTCTCTCTCTCTCTCTCTATCATCTATCTATCTATCTATCTATCTCTGTATCTGTCAGTCTATCTATCTATCTCTGTATCTATCTATCTATCTATCTATCTATCTATCTATCTATCTATCTCTATCTCTATATGTATATCTATGTTGGTCTGTCAGTCTATATCTATATTATATATCTATATCTATATCTGTCTGTCTGGGTCTGTCTATCTATCTATCTATCTATCTATCTATCTATCTATCTATATCTCTATATCTATATTAAAATGCAACAGGGCTCCATTTCTTGATCTCGCTAACCTGAACCTGGCTTACAAAATCTTTCCACCTCTCCTACTCCCTCCCTTCCTAGGGAGCTCCAGCGGTCACTTACACTGCACATCTAGCACGTACTGCGTCTGCTTCCGCTGACCACGCAGTGCTGGGTGGATGGCTTCGCATGTCACAATGCTGCTGTGGTCCTTGCGATCCACCCAAAAACGCACCATGCTGGTGATGCTGAATACTTTCCCATTTTCTTGCTTGCTGCTTGTTCCTGAAATACATACAGACAACACACCAGCCCCGTCAAGTAACCCCAGCAAGCAAATACAGCTCCCGTTTAGATCAGGGGTGTTCAACTTTGGCAACTTTTAAGATCTGTGGGCTTCAACTCCCAGATACGTATTATACGGATCATCTCAACAACTGACTCTGGGCGGACTCAAAATGAAAACAATTTAAAACATTACAAAAGTTAAAAGATGCAATGGCCAAGCAGCATCAACCCACTAGCCTAACTAAAAAGATGGTCCCTGCACAACGTCAAAGCCCAAGGCCTGGGCAACAAACCTGTTTCTTTATTGGAGAAACAGGTGTTGAGTCCATCCCAAACTGTAATATGGGAAAAGAGGAGAAGGAAAAGGAGGGAGGAAGGAAGGAGGGAAGAAAAGGGGGGAGGAGGAGAACAAGGAGGAGGAGGAGGAGGAGGAGGAGGAGGAGGAGGAGGAGGAGGAGGAGGAGGAGGAAAAGAGGACGGATGGAAACTAATCAAGGAGAGAAGCAATCTAGAACTAAGGAGAAACTTCCGATAGTTAGAACAATTAACCAGTGGAACAACCTGCCTTCAGGAACTGTGAATGCCCAACACTGGAAGTTTTTAAGAGAGACTGGACAGCCATTTGTCCAAATGTATAAGGGTTTTCCTGCCTGAACAGAGGGTTGGACTAGACAACCTCCAAGGTCCCTTCCAACTTATTATTATTATTATATTGTGAGAAGAAAGAAGAAGAAGAAAGAAGAAGAGAAGGAGGAGGAGAGGAGGCGCAGGAGGAGGAGGAGGAGAGAAAGAGAAGGAGAAGGGGAGAAGAGAAGGAGAAGGAGAAGGAGAAGGAGAAGGAGAAGGAGAAGGAGAAGGAGAGGAGAGAGGAAGAAGAAGAAGAAGAAGAAGAAGAAGAAGAAGAAGAAGAAGAAGAAGAAGAAGAAGAAGAAGAAGAAGAAGAAGAAGAAGAAGAAGAAGAAGAAGAAGAAGAAGAAGAAGAAGAAGAAGAAGAAGAAGAAGAAGAAGAAGAAGAAGAAGAAGAAGAAGAAGAAGAAGAAGAAGAAGAAGAAGAAGAAGAAGAAGAAATTTCACTTCTCGTTCAAGAAGTTTCATCCAGGATGAAGCTTCTTGGATGAGAAGTGAAATTTCTTCTTCTTTCTCAAAAAACAGTTCAGTTACCTTTAAAAAAAAAAGCACTTTTGAGACAACTATGACCTGGATGACTGAGAATATCCATAGAGATGTACGGTGGGAAGTATCCTCCCTCATCACCCAAGGCATCTGGAAGACGTCAAGTGAAAAAATAAGATATTCCTTCACTTGGAATTCCAAGTTGACTTTGGCCCAAACACCAGCAGAGGAAGAAGTTGCCTGGATCCTGCTTCCCAGGAAGTGTATTTGTTTTATTTGTTAGGTGGTTTCTACAGGGGCCCATTTGGAGTGGTACCTTTTATCTCTTTCCTGTCCCGGTACCAGCGCAGGGTAGCCGCAGGGCGTGACCTGGGAATGCTGCAGGTGAGTTCAACTTCTCCTCCTTCTACTGCCTGTTCCTTCACCTCCACTAAAGGACTGTCTGGAGGAACTGGAAGAAGAAAAAGCAGGCAAATTATTGGTCATTGCCTCCTTCACCTCACATCCCCATGGTTGAATCCTTCACCTGAGTACCTACACTGCCTCTAATACAGCAACTTTCTTAATTAATACTTCAACTGCTAGAGATAGTGGGCGGAGATGTCTTCACCCAAGCTTCTCAATTCTGTGAAGGTCATTTTACAAAGGAAAACAAGGACTTAGCCTTCTGCCATGGAGCTAAGAAGAAAAGCAAAGAGAGAACCTAGAGGTAGGCATGAATTTCTAAAGATAACAAGGGTTTACTAAATCCCTTGACCTCTATTTGTTCCTTCCAATGTTCATACTTGCAAAATCCGATTTTATTTTTTAAACAGGAGGTATAGGTTTGTTTAATCTGCATCAACGCTTCCACTGATGTCCTGCTAAGGAGGAATCCAAATCTTCTCTCCCTCTCTCTCTTTTTGAAGATTACCTGTTGCCCTACCGCCAAAGGCTGACCTTGAGAAATGATCACGTCTTCTAATAGTCTTTAGTCTGGCAAGTTAGGTAGATTCCCGAAAGTGTGACTTTCAGAAAGGCTACAGCTCAGCATCAAAGCACATGTTCGGCACGCTAAAGATCTTAGGTTGAGTCTCTGAGCATTCCTGAGGGGGATAAAGCAGACGGCTCTGAAATTCTGGACATCCATTGAAGCCTGTCTAGACAATCGTGTGCTTGAATGTTCTTTGCACCAGCAGCTTTCAAGACATACCTGATTTTTTTCTTTGGATCAGCTGCAGTCTGAGTTAGAGGAGGTGAACTTTAGAGGGATGACCCAAAGGTGCTTTTTCAGGAAGCAACTGGACTTTCTTGTTTTTCTTTGAAGACGCTTCGCTTCTCATCCAAGAAGTTTCTTCAGCACTAACTGAATGGAGGGGAAGGGAAGGATTTATGATCCTTGCAGACAGCTGGTCATTTGCATCCTTTTGGAGAGTCGTTGAGGCCACTAGGAGGTGTATGTGTGTCTGCTGGTTTGAAAGAGAGGTCAAAGAGGCCAACTAGGTCAAAATTGAACAGTCCTCTCTCAACAGAGGGGGAGGGATACGACATCATCTATCTCCAGTCTACAGCACCGTCATTTCAGCCGTACCATTTGCACTACTTAGGTGACCTTGAGGACACAAATAAACCTCCAAGTGGCCTCAACGACTCTCTTAAAAGAATGCAAATGACCAGCTGTCTGCAAGGAATATAAGCCATTCCCCACCATCCAGTCAGAGCTGAAGAAGCTTCTTGGATGAAGAACCGAAATGTCTTCAAAGAAAAACAAGGAAGTTGCTTCCTGAAAAAGCACCTTTGGGACAACCATGATCTGGATGACTGAGAATCTCTATAGACATTCAGAGTAGGGGGTCCTCAAACTTGGCCACTTTAAGATTTGTGGACTTCAACTCTTAGAATTCCCCAGCCAGCATGGCTGGCTGGGGAATTCTGGGAGTTGAAGTCCATAGGTCTTAAAGATGCCATTGTTGAACACCCCTGAGCTAAACAGTGGGGTACAGCACCCTCTTCTGATCTTATCACTCTACTCTCTCTGTCTGGATCATAATAAACAGTATCCTATCCTGCCAAGACACCTTTTCATTCTCCCATACTTTAAGGAAGTCCCTGGACAAATGAAGCCCGCCACCTGCTCTTTCCCACATCCAAAGCAAGGTGACACATACCCAGCACTGTGAGGATGGCAATCTGATGGTGGGTGTCTTCTGTGTACAGCTGGCAATAGTATCCACCTTCATCTTCCAGACGGGCATTGGAGAGCACAATGCGGACCTGTTTTTGGGTGAACTCCACCAACTGGAAACGCTCATCCTTTAAGGCTGTAAGGAGCAAAAGGGAAATGCCTCAGTTGTGGATCAATAAAATAAACAAGGATCATCTTCTCCCAGGTCACCACAAGCCACAGTCACGGTTCTGAACACTCCTGGTCTCCAGCCTTGGACAACGCTGTAGATCAATACGAAGGGACAACAAGAAAGTAGATGACCCACCTTCCAGGTGCTGAGCTCTCTGTGGCTCAGTGATCCCATCCCCAGCCCACAATTCGACACCTTGAAGACTAGAAACAAGGTTACCTCGTGTGCCGTTGAAGAAGAGCGTCTGCCGAGATGGATTCTGGATCACCACGATGGAGCCATCATATTGGTGTAGCTTGCAATTGATCTCAGCCTGTCCGCCTTCTGCTACTGTCACATTCTCGGCTTGGACTTCCTGAGTTCTAGCTAGAGTGGAGAAAAAGAGAGAAAAGGGTTACCAGCCCTAATTCCTGAGGGAAAGAACACCTGGCCAACATTAAGGAAGAAGGCCATACCGGGTGGACCTGTTCCTATCAAAAACACCTCCTTGCAAAGGTAATTGTTGATGGACATCAAAGTAGCTTTGGAAATTCCAGGCCAGTGAGAACTAACTCAAAATAAAGATGAGCAAGCTACATCCCTAAGAAATTACTTGTTGCAGCTTCAAGAGTGTTCTCCAAGCAAACCTCAGAGGGGATCAGAAGATGAGACAGCAAAACCATGCTCCCCAACTTCGGCTGCCATATCTGAGTTGCAAAACTCTCCCTGGCCATTAGATCAGGGCTTTTCAACCTTTTCACCCATTGTACCATTTTTAGGATATGGCAACATCTGAGTACCACCAGTCGCCTAGCAAGGTGTCAAAAACTTGATGACCAAAAAAAAAAAGAGGAAAAAAGTGATAAAGTACAGGTAGTCCTCGACTTATAACAGTTCGCTTAGTGACTGTTCGAAGTTACAATGGCACTGAAAAAGTGCCCCCCAAGCCATAGCCGAGCAAGACACCTGCCTGCCCACCCAGTGATGCTCTTCCTCCTGTCTGAGGTTTTCATTGTTGTGAGCATTTCTGTTGAGAATTGGCAGCGGGGTGTGGGGGTGTTTGGTTTTTATTCCCCCGTCTGCTGGGTGGTTGCAGCAGGTTTTGGTCACTTCACATGACCCTGGGACACTGTGACCGTCATAAATATGAATCAGTTGCCAAGCATCTGAATGTAAATCACAAGACCCTGGAGAGGCTGCAACATTCCAGCTGATCGGCACTTCTTCTGGGCTCAGCAGAAGTGCCAGGATCAGCGCCGAGCTCCAGCTGGAACCTGGCACTGATCCTGGCGCTTCCACTGAGCCCTGACAGCCCTGCAGCTCCAGCCATCTCTCGCTCAGGCTTGTGCGGTGCTGCCACTGGTTCAGCTCATTCCCCTCCCCCGCTACCACTTTTCTAGGATGGTCGTGTACCACCTGCCAGGTGCCAATGTACCACAGGTGATACCCGTACCACTGGTTGAAAAGCCCTGCATTAGATGACCCGGGAGAGTAAGCGTTCTTTGCTATCGGCTAGTGGCTATCCAGTATTTTTGCCCAAATATGGTTGACCTAGCCTTGCCACCGGGGCCTGTTTGTGTGTTTGCGTGTGTGTTTATTATAATTTTGTCCCAATAAAGGAGAATATTTGTAGCTCAGGGTTGCAATGAGGGGTCCTGGATGCCAGTGCTGGTGACTAGCAGCGATGACGTTTGGGTAATGGAAAGTCTGCAAGAAAACAACCAACCTCAAAGACCACCAAGGACCCTTTATTATAATTTTGGCTTATTTATGTGAGCCGTCTAGAACTATTCATCTGCCTAACTGCTTTATGCAGACTATAATCTGAACGATAATGGTCAGTGGCCAGCAGGTGGAAAGCCTTGCTTAGCAGCTAAGAGCCATAGGAAAGGCTGTGCGATCTCCTTCCACTCCTTTGAAGTTTGACTAATAGTCCTTCCCATCCTGAGAAGTCAGCTTTATTCCACAGAGGCATAAACAAGAGGACATCGGAGTAACACAAAAACCAGTGAAGTAAAATGTGAAAAGAGAAGGGCATGAGAGGTGTTGTTGGAGAATCCCTTATAGGAACAGCTTCATCCAGGGTGTGTGGATTACAATGCATAAAAAAAAAATAGCAGGTTGCATGGCCTCAATATAGACAATTCAGTGACTGCACGCAATCTTAGGAAGATACACAGCGCTTCAGTGAACCCAGTCCCGATTGGTGCCCTACAGGTATTTATACCTCTTAACAATCCCCTTTCCCTGGCTGTAGGACAACACGCAAAATATTAAACGCTTTTATAAACAGCACAGAGACAAAAGGCCCCAGGTCAGTGTTAGAACTGTGTTCTTCCCACAGCATGCTTCAGCCGTGTTAAATAAATGCTAAATATTAGAAACTTCCACGCTAATAGGCTTAACGCGATTCCAAGGTTCATCGGTATTACCGAACGATAAGCGCCAAGAGCCACTGTATACAACCTTGCACAACACAAACTCGAAATAAACTGAGCTTTAAATTTGTGACTTATCTGCAGTCTTAATTGCATCGCTTTCCACTCGATGCATTTTAAAATGGGGGAAGGTTTGTGTTAATTAAAAAGTAATAGAATAGAATAACAGGTGATCTATTCCACTCCATTCTGCGTTCTATTCTACTCTACTCTACTCTATTCTATTCTACTCTACTCTACTCTACTCCGGTCCGGTCCGGTCCAGTCCAGTCCACTATTCTATTCTATTCTATTCTATTCTATTCTATTCTATTCTATTCTATTCTATTCTATTCTATTCCATTTCTATTCTACTCTACTCTAATTCTTATTCTATTCTACTCTATTCTGTTCTATTCTTATTCTATTCCATTCCATTCTATGCTATTTCTACTCTACTCTACTTCTTATTCTTATTCTATTCTATTCTATTCTTGTTCTGTTCTATTCTATTCTATTCTTGTTCTATTCTATTCTATCCTTATTCCTTATTCTATTCCATTCCATTCCATTTCTATTCTACTCTACTCTACTCTACTCTAATTCTTATTCTATTCTATTCTATTCTATTCTATTCTATTCTATTCTATTCTATCCTTATTCCTTATTCTATTCCATTCCATTCCATTTCTATTCTACTCTACTCTAATTCTTATTCTATTCTACTCTATTCTATCCTTATTCTATTCCATTCCATTCTATGCTATTTCTACTCTACTCTACTTCTTATTCTTGTTCTATTCTATTCTTGTTCTGTTCTATTCTATTCTATTCTTGTTCTGTTCTATTCTATTCTATTCTATTCTTATTCCTTATTCTGTTCCACTCCATTTCTATTCTACTCCACTCTACTCTAATTCTTATTCTTATTCTTATTCTTATTCTTATTCTTATTCTTATTCTTATTCTTATTCTTATTCTTATTCTTATTCTATTCTATTCTATTCTATTCTATGCTATTCTATTCTATTCTATTCTATTCTATTCTATTCTATCCTTATTCTGTTCCATTCCATTCTATGCTATTTCTACTCTACTCTACTCTACTCTACTCTACCTCTTATTCTTATTCTTATTCTTATTCTATTCTATTCTATTCTATTCTATTCTATTCTATTCTATTCTAAATGTGGGGACACAAAGGTCTATCAGAGAGGATGTGAGAGATAATGCTCTGATAGAGGAGGACCTGGGCTGATGGACTGCAGGTAGTTCTTGACTTATAACCACACTTGAGCCCCAAATTTATGTTGCTAAGCGAGATATTTGTTAAGTGAATTTTGCCCCATTTTACAACCTTTCTTGCCACACTTAAGTGAATCGCTGCAGTTGTTAAGACGGTAACCCGGTTGTTAAGTGAATCTGGCTTCCCCATGGGCTTGGCTTGTCAGAAGATTGCAAAAGGGGATCACATGATTCTGGGGACAATGCGACCGTCATAAATATGAATCAGTTGCTAAGCGACTGAATTTTGATCACGTGACCCAGGGGATGCTGCAACGGTTGTAAGTGTGAAAAGCAGTCGCTAGGTCACCTTTTTCAGTGCCCTTGTAACTTCAAACGGTCGCTAAATGAACTGTCGTAAGTCGAGGAGTACCTGCAAATGGCAAGCGTTTTTCTAAGGAGCAATCAAGTTGGGGAGAGAGGATGAGCAGGCCCATTCCAAGGCAAAGGATGGGATCTTTGACCATTTAGTATGAAAACAATTGTACAGGTATAGTATAGGGGGTACCTTGCTCAATAGTAGTAACTGTGAGAGGGATCTCGGAGTCCTAGTGGACAATCGCTTAAATAGGAGCCAGCCGTGTGCTGCAGCTACCAAAAAGGCCAACACAGTGCTAGGCTGCATTAACAGAGGGATAGAATCAAGATCACGTGAAGTATTTATACCACTTTACAAGGCCTTGGTAAGGCCACACTTGGAATACTGCATCCAGTTTTGGTCACCACGATGTAAAAAAGATGTTGAGACTCTAGAAAGAGTACAGAGAAGAGCAACAAAGATGATTAGGGACTGGAGGCTAAAACATATAAGGAACGGTTGCTAGAATTGGGTATGTCTAGTTTAACGAAGAGAAGGACAAGGGGGGACATGATAGCAGTGTTCCAATATCTCAGAGGCTGCCACAAAGAACAGGGAGTCAAGCTATTTTCCAAAGCGCCTGAAGGCAGGACAAGAAGCAACGGGTGGAAACTAATCAAGGAGAGAAGCAACCTAGAACTAAGGAGAAACTTCCTGACAGTTAGAACAATTAACCAGTGGAACAACCTGCCTCCAGAAGCGGTGAATGCTCCAACACTGGAGGTTTTTAAGAAGAGACTGGACAGCCATTTGTCTGAAATGGTATAGGGTTTCCTGCCTGAGCAGGGGGTTGGACTAGATGACCTCCAAGGTCCCTTCCAACATTATTATTATTACTATTATTATCAATCATCTCACAGTCAGCCAGATGTTCAGACTGGATTTGGCATTTTGTCTACCTATCGAGTCCTTACCCAGGACCTGGGATAGGCAGATGTGGATGTTTGATGGTATTACAGGTTATATTATTATTATTATTATTATTATTATTATTATTATTATTATTATGGATCATCGCACAGTCAGCCAGATGTTCAGACTGGATTTGGCATTTTGTCTACCTATCGAGTCCTTACCCAGGACCTGGGATAGGCAGATGTGGATGTTTGATGGTATTACAGGTATCGTCGCAGGATGGAAGCAGTTCCTAATAAGGCCGCCTTTTGCAATTGACTAATAGCGAATTTGTCAATGCCAATGGTGTTCAAGTGGTGCTCCAGTTGTTTTGGGATTGCACCCAAGGAGCCTATGACTATTGGTACTACCCTTGCTTGCTTTTGCCACAGTCTTTCTATTTCTATGTCTTTGTATTTTGTTATCTTCTCCAG